AAACTGCTTTACAAAACTTCTGTCCCAGACCTCTTCCTGATTCAAATTAAATTAGAGTCCCACACTATCCCTGCATGTTTTGCAGCCCTGGGCTGGGCTGCACTGTCTGCTCCAGAGAGCAGGGCTGGCCCCACCCCTCTGCTCCCTAGCTGGAGCAGTGAGGGCTGCCTGATGAGGGGGCCTGCGGGCAAGCCCAGCTGGGGATGCAGCCTCCTCCAGGCAAAACCCAGCTGGGATCTGGGGCCAGGAAGTGGGGTTAAACACCCTTCCCCTGCTCAAACTTACTGCTGCCTGTGGCTGTTGACTACAAATCCCACAGGCACCTGGAAGTAGGAAGAGGAAGTGATGAACAAGCCTGCAGAGTCCTGCTGTTGTGATTTTAGACTACAAATCCCAGAGAGACCTTGGGGGCAGCAGGAAGAGGAAGCAAACACACAGCCCATACTGGATATGCTAAAGAGTCATGCTCTAGCACCCCCCGGCTTCTGGTCTGAGCCACTGCAGGCATATGCCTGCATTTCCTTAATGTCTGCTCACTTCTGTTTCAATTTAATCTCTGCATTTTAGACTAATCTGCAGAGACTGAATCAATTCCTTGGGCTTTCTGACTGTACTTAGCCTTAGTAATACACATCCCAAATAAAGTAACATGAGCAGAGGACAGAGGTAACTAAAAGATAAAAGAGTGAAAACCCTTGCAATTAGAGAGAGCCAACAGATATGGTGCTAACAACTGAAAAATGTGGATAAATGAACTCAGCACCCATGCCAAGCTTAATGTTTGGAATTCATTATTTATATCTGCATTACTTGGTATTTCATTATTCTGCCAGTACAGTGCTTTCAACAATGTTAATTTTAGCTCCTTTCACTCATGGGAATTTTGGACCATCACAGACATAGAAATGACTCTTCCAGCAGTATCTTGGCAATTGATTATTCATGATAGACATTAGCTTTTTAACAGGCTTAGAGACCTGTCAGTCATAGGTACATGAAACATGACAACCAAATACTGAGATGGCTGATAGATCTCCAGGCTTGTCAAAAGGTTCAGCATTATTGTGACCTTCAGAAGAGTCCCCAAAGCTAGCTGTTGGCCATACACTAAAGGTAATGAATATTACTGTTTTAATAATGCTGCTTTAGGAAGAACCTAAAAAGTAAGAGTTCAGCTGTTTTCAGTCTGTTTCAATTCTTCTACAATTTGTTTTTACCCAAACATAAAGAAACTTTAAAGCCAGATATTTATAGGAACGCCCTACTTTTTTTTATTCTTTACCACATTAGTCATTTGTTTTTCCCCCAGATGGATGAGTTTCTATATGCCAGAATTATTTGAGTTATATATTGCCTATGAAGAAACTTAGAGGGAAATACTGTTGTTCAAATATGGTGGATATCCAAATTCTTTTAAAAAACAAAAAAAATGGAGCCTCTAACAAATCTGGTTTAACCCATAGATAAAAATTAGTAAATTGCCCAGGTAGTTTTTAATTTTTTTGTCATCTGTACAATGACATATGATATATATGTTTAGTATGGAGAATAGCTCCTCTTCTACCACAAGCTTTAACAAGGAAAGGGAAGCCTTGGTGTTTCTGTACAATACCACTACTTCCTGCCATCAAGCAAACCAGCGATTATTTATTTTTTTGAAACTCACATTCCAACAATATGAACAAAGTAGGAGAAAGAGATAAATTATCACCATTCATTGGTGGAGTCTCATATTGACTTTATACACATGTAAGTAGATCCACAACGACAAGGCTATGAGAACACAGGCTCCTGAAGGATGAAAATGTGCTATGGATTCCCTTTAATAGAAGTTAAGTTATGAGGGCTTTGTTTGGATTTGCTGACTTAGTGCCCCAGAAGATGCAACCCAACTTGCTTTATATATGAAGGCATTAGGTAATTAGGTACAATTTGGAAATGGACTAGTCATTTTTGTCTGGCAAAGTACAATTTAAAAAGAAACAACTCAAAGGTTATAGAGTCTTTTTTTGGTTCTTGGTATCCTAACAGAGTCTATCTAAAGTTCATCCTATGAGCCGGAAACTAACATATTGATAGAATTTTCCACTGGTTCCACTTAAAATGCAGGGACTTGTATGAGGAATTTTGGGTTTCATTAATATCCTACATTTCAGAGAAATTTATTTGGAGAAAATGAATCCTCTCAATCTGAAAAGTGAATGCTTAGCAAATTGGGCAAATTATTTGCATTAATCCACTTAAATAAACCATATGAAAATAAGAGCCAATGCAAATCTGTGCTCCAGTCAGATACACTCATCTAAGTAGACTCAGCAAATTTTAATAGAGTAGCCTACAAATAAGTATAAAACAGCAGCAAATCAGGACCACTTCATACTGTACTCACAATGCTGCAGTATCACATTTATAATGAGACAATAGCAGAGCTTCCTCAGATAAGGTAAACACAATCCACAATACCTTCTATTAAATGTTTCTTTTAATCATTTGATTTTAAGCATACAATCTTTGTTATAAATTATATTGTGCAATATCTGTTCAATACATATAGTCCTCACTATGGAAAGAAGCAAGATGAAGGAATTCCCCCCCACACATACGCAGTGTTTCCAAAGTTCAGAAACATTATATATTATTATATTTCTTTTCAAAAGCAAAAAAAGTCTCATAGAAATAGTAATAGCTATTACTATTTCTATGAGCTAAGGGGTAGAAAGTTCACAATGAACTCCTGAGGAATAACCCAATCTTTTAACATTCAAAAGGCTCACATGAAGTGATCATAGCAGCACTGGAAATATTGTGAAAATAGGTTGTTATCATGGTATTTCACTACCTCCTCATCTATTCACAAAGGATCCACACTATACTAAGGGACACGTTATCCATCACACAGTGCCAAAGACTTTGGTGTACTTGCATAAGGAATTCATTTGGACCAAAAATCAATTATTCTATATCAGCTTCCATTACAGCTTCCAAAATAAATCTTTCCATTCTTAATGGCAGATCTGAGCCTGTTTTAAGAGTTTTAATAAGTGATTCTTGTTAACAATTCTCTGCAATTGGTTGAAAGATTTTTTTTTTTTTTTTAATAACAAAACCCTGGTCATATAATGGCATTTTCAATGGAAACACTGACAGAAATGTATTTTGACTAAATATTTTATGAGACATCTAAGGCAGACTCATTGATTAATTCCACAGAGGCAGAGACCCAAATTGGAAGCTTCCTTTTTCAATTTGAAAAAAAATACATGTTTTGACACAATTCTGTTTCAGGAAGTGTACAAGATGCTTGGTTTTATTGCAATAAAAAATGTCAAAGGTTGCTGTGAAATAGAAATATGAAATGGCCTTCTCCATCTACCTGTACACTAATTATTTACCCAGTAAATTGTTTGTATATGTCCTCCGTATTCAGAGACCTACTGCAAAAACTTACTACGATAAGAGTACTAGTGTTATGCTACTTTAAAAACATTCCTTTGATGTTTTTTCACCAGTGATCCCAAAGCACTTTACAAAAGCAAGGGTATCTTTTAACCATTCAGAAAGTAAGGAAGTATCATTGTTAACTTTGATCTAGACCCCATGTCTCTGACCTCCAGAGGTATGCTCTGGCCAGTAGACCCTATTGCTTCTCAAGAAGTGTCATCTCTTTTGGGAAAAAAAAAGCGACAGTTAGAGTTGGTAACTCGAGTCAACTGGCCCAAATAAACATAGCAAACATTTTCTTTAAAAATTGGCAACATACTAAGGATATATTACTAATGCTTATAACACAATAGTTAACTTAGGTCTAGATCTTCACCTGGAGTAAGACAACAAACTGGAGTTATACTAATTGACTCTGACTAAAGTATTTAAAAATGCTTACTCCAACATCAATTTCCATTAGCAAAATATTAAAATAAGTATACTGTCGATTCTCTTTTGCAGCTGCACATGGTAAAAGCTACAACCTCTTACCAGCAAGATTTCCCATACCAGATGACACCAGCATACAGTCATTTAGAAGCAACACAGCACCAGGGCAGCACTATGTTGCTGCTTACAGGCATAGACTGTATAAAGATCATATTGACAACATAAATCAATATGCTCTAGTCCTACAAATGCTGTGGCATGGTGTTGGGAGCTTTCCATCCTGTGACACCCATATTTAAGGCCCTGTTTCATGTTACACTTACGATGTGCTAACTGCACTTAAAACACCAGCATCCAAATGTTCAAACAGTGAAATACATGCTATTTACCCACTGCAGCATAGCAAACTTAGGATTTTTCCCACAAGAAGTATCTCCAAATTGTATTACCTAATACACATGGAGCTAATGTCCAACTGCTTCATGGGGGTAATAAGTTCAGGAGACTCTGAGATGGTACAGGGGCTGGGACTGTTTGTTGGTCACAGCCCCAGTACTTCACTGGAGCCTTGAACTAACTCCCACACAAACAGCTGTTTGTTGGTCCCACCCCCATCCTACACCAAAGCCTTGAACTGAGGTGCTGGGGCTGGGACCAACAAAAGAGCTGTTTATTGCCCCCAGCTCCCACAGCACACCAGAATCTTCAAGGGCTCCAGCATTTAGGATATGTTTTATTTAGACTGTAGTAAGCATTACCATGCAACTGCTCAGAAAACTTTCTAACTCATAGTAATGCTTGTTATGATCTAAATAAACAACATCATAAATATAACATGCAACAAAAGCCCTTAGGTAGGCTGTTTTGGTAACTTGGACTCTATGACAACTGCAAGCAGGAAACAGCCTATTACCCCTAACTCATCTTTTACATATAGATGTTCATACTGCAATAGTTTGGGTATATGCAAACACCTACTTTAGTTCAGAATTCCAATACAAAGGCCTGCCAAAACCATCCCTTTCATATTTCATTACATCAGCCCTTTCTAAACACCTCAGCTAGAATCCAGTTGACTTGATCTGCCAAACTACTGGAGAAGAAAAAGGGCTGACATGTCCTTTTACCTGGCAAAAAAAGATGCTGTCACTGAGGTGCCCGTTGATGTTTCACTGGCAACATAGGTGCTCTGAGAAGCAGGGAAGCTGTACAGAGAGGGCTTATCTGCATTGTAGCGGTTCAGCGCTGCTTCAGTCAGGCCCTCTCGGCCAGTCTCTGTCATCAGCTGAGAGATCTGATAAGAGACGGAAAGAAGATATAGCATTAAAATTAGACAGAGCTTGCTGCCTCACCTCTCCTCAATACGATCAAGTTTTGGAGGACGGAGTGCAAGAAGGGCATTACATTCACCACATTTGTGTAACTATGTGTGTAGGTTTATTACTTCTATAGGGCTGTGTTGTAGTGCTTTGGCTCAGACCTCACCTCATTTTCATTAAAAGTAATGGAATAAAATCACCTCCTCACCCTGCAAATTTCAATTATGTGTGTGGTCCTCCCTCTGTTTGGAGGGGGGGAAATTGCAAGCCATTATCCTTGCTCAATTTCAGCAAAGTGAGGGTACAACAGCATTAGACAAAGATTACTTGTTAAAATAAATAACCACATGAAGATCACTGACCAAGAAGCCACATTTTGTCCAGGAAAAGTTGATAGTCATAAATATTAGAAAAGTTACAAGTTGCTTATTTTTACTCCATGAAACAAACATGCATAGATTAAAGAAACCAATACTTTTGTATCGAGTATTCTTGCTGATTTTTGTTTCTATAATCCGCCCCCAAAAATCTGCAAAATGAAGGAAAGTGGTGGGGGGAAGGAACAAGGGGACTACTTATCACCCCTCCTGCAACTCAGTGCTATAGCCACTCAGCCTAATAAAAGTTATTCAACACCACTGAATTGTGGTTTCCTGATGGCCTACGTAGTTTGTTTGTTTTTCCCCTGAGAGTATCATACCCTTTATGGTGCACCCCCCCAAGCCTCCTCTCTATTAAGAAAGATTTTGTCCAATAAAATCTCATTCCATTTGAAGCCTCTGAACTGAGCGTATGTTAGGTATCTTTCAACCACTCAAAAAGAAATGATTGTTTTCAGAGGCCAAGGAGAACAACTGCTGTTCAGCTATGACCTGATCCAGCTCCCATCAAAAGTCAAATGAAAGACTCTCATTGACTTTTGTGGGAGCTGGGTTAGCCCCTGCCCCTCAAGCAGCTCAGCATAAGAAGTGTGACTATTTGGGGGGTTTAAGTTGCTAGCCTGAATCTTTGCTTTTGCTGAGACTCCTATTGGCACCTCACACACTTCCTAACAAATGCTTTTTCTTCTTTCTTCACAGTATCAAAAAACACTGACAGTACTTCCATGAAGATCTGACCACACCTGAGCACTGCTAGCTCTCTCAAAATCATAGTGTATCATAGTGTACACAGTTCCTCACAAACTACTACTAATAACCTGACTTCTCCATGAAAACACTTCTAGTTTCCACAAAAGGTTTACTAGCATCCAGTTGTAAGTGGGCGATTTAGCAGGCTGGCTCCTGCAACCCGGCTTTGCTCCCCAAGGAGCTCCTCAGCCAGTCCTCCAAAAAACACACAAGTCTTTGCAGGACACACAAATACAGCATTCAACAAACAAAACCCGTAGGCCTTGTTCCAGGCCCAGTCCCCTGGCTCCAACTCTGACTGCAGTGCTTCTTCTTCTTGGTAGCAAGTTTATTTGGCTCATAGCTTGCCTCCTATATGCAAACTACTACTTCACAGAGTTTTGCCCCTTTCTACTCTCTCACTAAGATGTTAAACTTCTAGTGGGATACTCCCACATTATCTAAATGCCCATAGCTGGGCTTTGTCAACTGGGCTGACTGCTCCTTCTTAAAGAGACAGCCTAGCCTATTACCAAAGAACTTCACACATGTTCTGTTCTTCTCTCATCCAACTATGTGACTACCCTCCCTGAAGTGTATTAAGTGACATAATTAGAAATGGCTCTGTACAATTCTCTCTTTCTCCCTGAGGCAGGGGAAAATCCAGGGGGGTCATGGTGGTGTGGTCACACCCTCCTTTGATTGATACTCCACTCCAAGTTTCAAAACAACTTTGCATGCATTGCTGCACTGGTATCAGCATCAGCCATTTTGGTATTCTTGAGATTTGAAGCAGCCCAATCAAACTCAGCACAGCACAGTGCAGCACTGTGCAGGGCATATACAGGTGGGCAGGGGAGCACTCACCTCTCTCCCACCTTTTCAAAATCCTAGATATACCAGTGCCCTAAGATGACTATTTTATGAGGCTTCTTTTTTTAATACCACATTTGATCAATTCTAAGACATGGTTCCCTCCCACACACTTAACATGGGGAGAAAGGCCCTTCATCTTAGAATGGAGTACAAGGGTGGTAGGGTGGGAAGCAGATAGCTGCTGTGGCTGTAGGGGCTAAAGTCCCTACCTGGGGTTGGCAGCTTTTGCCTGCCTCCCCACTCTACCTCTGCACCCTACCATCTCCCCACCTCTTCTCCCCTTCTCCCCCCATGCAACCTCTACTCCCTTACTCACCCTTCTCCCTTCCACCACTTACCTTTGCTCCATGCCAGCATACTCAGTCTGAGGCACTGAGCATAGCCCCAGCTCCATAGTAGCGGCATGCATCCTGCACAGCTGCTACAGGGCCACGCTGGGCCATGATCAGTACCCCAGGATAGAACAGGGATGGAGCCTGTCAGTGTGGAGCAGAGGCTTGGGGGAGGTGGGAGCAGAGGCTGATAGGAAGGGGAAGCAGAGGTTGGGGGGCAAACAGGGAGCAGAGACTGAGGGAGGGACAGGCAGGGAGCAGAGTTGGCAAGGGGTCAGGTACAAGTGAGGGGGACAGCCACTTGACCTCCCTGCACAACTTGCCTTCCCATTGCCTGCCCCCTTGCAACAGTGTGAGGGATGAATTAAAGATGTCCCTCCAATAATTAGATTCTATATATGGAAAATTATAACAGATTTATACATTTTTCCATGTATGCAATCTAATTATTGGTGTCCTAAATTTAGGCTCATCTTAGATTTGAGTAAATATGGTATTTGCTTTATGGCTTCTGTGTTTCATATTTCAGTTATTGATAGCAAAGTTGCCTTGTAGTTGTGATGGAAAACCATGACATTTGAAATGGTTCTTACATCCTACAAAAGCTCATTCCAGACCTCCTGCTGAGGAAACTCTGCTTCCTGAACAGATGAGTTTTTTCTGCTCTATTGTGCCCATGCAGCTATCTTTTAGTCACCCTGGGCCCAACCAACTGCATGTCTTGAGGATATGAGTCTTGAAACTGGCATTATATTCTATGAAAGAACCAAGGATGCTCTGTACTATTTTTTTATTCACATACGGAAACCCCTAACCTGTCAATCCAACGCATGAAATAAGTTATACTCTCAAAAAGCTATTGCAGAGGCTGAAGGCTTGATTCTTCTGCTAGTCTTAGTGGGCATCTTTACATGTGCTCCGGGGTGGGGAGGTGGGCACTTTAATTAGAGCAGCTCCTGAAAGCCGCTCTAATTAAAGCACCTGCAGTGTTTTGTGTATTTGAGTTTGACAAGCCTTAGTTAAAGTGCCCCCGCCACCATTTTGAAGTGCAGGGACATTGAATACATATGATACCAAGCCTATTACAGCATGCTAATTAGCACACTCCAGACGACTCAGGTGTCAGGCACATACATAGGTGTCCTATGGTTTTAACTTGGTTGCTTGGATATCCCGTGCCCTAGGAACTGCATTAGTGGAAAGCACTGCAACAGTGTCCATCTGCCTTAACAATAAATGCAAAACCTGTCAACACGTCTCCACTGCCACCACAATCAGTCAGAATCCATGGATCCTACACAGAGTGGTGGAACAAGCCCTGTGGAAGGAAAGAGGGCACATGGTTTCAAAAGCAGAGCAGGGTAGGGGGTGGCGTGCATATATCCCAAGAGCAGGGGGTATGACACATGGGTTCCAAGACTGGAGGGACAGGGGTGGGGGCAGGGGCAAGTGCACAGCAGTCTTACTCGTGGTGGGATCTAAAGAGTCTCCCTGGCTGAGCTGCTGCTGCTGTGGCTACCACAAGGTACCTTGCCTGCACTAGCTGTTGCTCTCAAAGCAGCAACAACAGCCAGGGACTGTCTTGGAGTTCGTTGCATGAGTACACTGCCAAGGAACAGACTCTGAAGGAGTGGGGAGCAATTCTGGTGCCCTCCTAACTTGACACCTGGAGCAGGTGCCCCTCTCATTCACCCTGGGTTAAGCTACTGCCTATGCATGTCTATCTCAAATATATCCCCAAATGCCCTCATAAAAACAATGTGGGTAAAACTAAAGAAAAACTACACACCAGAATGAACCCTCATAGAAAGATGATAAAGGACAGAAACTCCCAAACACAAGTGGGAGAGCACTTTTCACAGAACAACTACTCCACCTCTGACCTCTTGATTCTTGTGATCAAAACAAACGTACAGTATCTTCTCAAGACCGGCCTGAGAGCAAACATCAAAACCTTAGTGGGCACTAAAAACCATGGACTAAACACAGGCGATAGCTTGCCAATTTCTCGGCACTCCACAGGTAATAATAACCCCATAATTAGGTTATCTATTCTACTGCACTTCTCTTGTTTTGCTCTTTGCTTCTACTTTACAGCTCTCTTCCGTTCCCTTAAGTGACTTTTTCATTTACATGGAATTACACACAAGTCACTGTTCTATCTATTATTTAGGTCAAGCTTGTTTCCCAGACCTATGTGCCGAAAAGGCTGTTTAATCTCTCTCACAATTATGCAGTTGGTCCAATAAAAGATATCGCCCCCCAAAAATCCTTGTTTCTCATATATTTCCTAGACCAACACAGCTACAACACTCTAACTTAATTTTCCTTGTGAAAAGTCCATTTTCTTCATGTTTCTCATGACGTCTGCAAGACCAGCTATGTATATTTGCAGCAATTGAATCTCCCACAATGGTGCCTTATCTCACCTAATCATTCAAGAGGCATAGACTGTCACCTATAGTCTTGCTGAGCATATGAGGATTTATGATGCTCTCCACAGAAAATGAACATACCGAGGCCTAATGTTATCCTGCACCTACCACCCCATGTACCCAAACTCAGAGAGATGACCATTAATCAACAGCCAGGGTTGACAGGAGATCAGGGGCTGGTTCATCCTCCCACAGAAGCCTTGGAGCTGATGGGAGATAAGAA